CTCTGGGCGGCCCGCGGCTCGCCGCGCCCAGGATGGCCGGGATCGAAAATCTGGCCCTCAGCGCAAGTGATCTGATTTTTCTTTACCTCTCTCCACGATCATCCTTTTCTCACCTGACTCGAGCAGTTTCACTGTCTCCCTCTCCTTTGTTTTTCGCTCCCCGTCTGTCTGTCTCTCCCACTTTCTAGGTATTCGATTTCTAAGTCATTCATTTTCCTTCTCTTTCCTCCGCTCCCCCCATTCGTTGTTTTATTTGTTCCTCTGGACCACTTTGCAGTTCACTTTTCTCAGTGTGGCTCCTTCCCTCTGCCCTGATTTTGTCCCTTTTTTAATCTGGGTCTGCCTCTGTGAGGGTCCCTCTCCCTCACCCCCAATTCTCCTTCTGTCTTTCCTTCTCTCTTTCATCCCAGTCTATGTGCTTCTCCGGTTTCTTGGTCTGTCTCTCAGGTTCTCCTCGGCGTGTATTTTCTCTCTTTTCCTCTTCAGGACGTGTGCCCCCCCACACCCCCGTGCATCGGCCTCCACCCCCGCCCCCCGGCGCCCCCTCCTCATCCATCTTGGGAGATGAATATGTCGCCTTATTGGATGCCGAGGCCAGAGCCGGGTGATGGGGCTCGGCCAGCCTCGCGCATTTTCTTCATGCATATTGAGGAGATGGTAATGAGTACGTTTGCATTGTTGCATGGAAAGACTGCGTTTCCGGCCACAATTCCGAGCGGGCGAGGGTGGCGGGGGCCCCAGAGAGCCCGCAGTGGGCACCCAGCCTGGTGGCCGCAGCTGGCCCTCAACGGGATGGCGGGTGCTCGGGGCCCCGGGGAGGAAGTGACCTCTCGGAGCGCGCGGCCCGGGCCGCCGCCTCCGTGGGCTTCTCCACAAAGGCTGACCGCGCTCCCCTCATTAAAGCCTCGTTACGGGAACCTCCGCCTGGCTCCGACGGCTCCCTCGCGCCCCCAGCCCTTGGGCCTCTGAGCCCCCTCCCCTGATGTTTGGAGGCCCGTGATGGAGCGCCACCAGGAAATTAGTGCCTGACAAAGACGTCTAATGGCAATAAATTGTTTGCGATTCTGAGTGACACGTCGCGGGATCAAACACAGCCGCATTGTGTGCCCGGCCCCGCTCACTCCTTAATCTGGGAGGGCGCAGCGGCCGTCGCTCCCCCAGGCGCAGGGCGCGCGCGGGCGCCTTGGGTTGTCCCCAGCGGGCTCTGGCCTGGGCTCATCCTTCCCGGAGCAGACCTGGACGACCCAGTCATTCTAGAGGGGCATGTCCCTCCCGGAGAAGGTCCCCAGAGCTCAAGAGACAGGACCCAGGCATGCCACTCAGAGAAGGGAAGGTTTATGAAAGTCAGCAGCTTTCCAGGGGCAAACTCTTGAAGAATTGAGCTCAGAGGGAACCCACTGCTGGAAAGCTAGAAGGGCGCGGATCCCCAGCTCCAGACACAGCGGAGCAGGGACACTCTGGGTGTTAGACATTTGCACTAATCCCCTATTCTCCTCCCAACTTCAAACCTGGGAAAGCTGAGAAAACATCAAGATCTGGCCTTGTCTGGAACTGGGTAGTGTCAGGTTTCCCAAACTTCAAACCCTCCACTACCACCTCTATTATTTGTTTAACATTTTTCCTTAAGTTGACTCCTTTTAAATACTTACATACATGTTTTTGGAAAGAAAACTTGATACTGCTACTGTAAATTGAAAAGTAGCCCTTACTCACCATAAAGGGAAATGGGAAAAGATAAAAAACAACTAAAACCAAGGGATCTAAAACATTTGAACCGTTGTTGCTTGCTGGGGAACGACTTTTAGAGGACCTGTGGGTGTGTGTGTAATCATTAGCAAGGGTTGGAAGTATTAAACACTGAATCTTTTTCAGAAGAAATGAGAGAATTGAAAAGGAAATGCTTCTTATTATTCAACAATGTTAATTCTGTCTCCAAGATACCTGAAATCATATTGAGGACCCTAAAAGCTGTACTGGTTTAGGATTTACTAATGTACACCCACACTCTGTTGAAGAGTATGTAAAAAAATTAGGATGAAAAAAAATGTTGAGTTATTATTAGTTACCAAATAATTGTGTTAAGCGTTATCAGAAATAATGTGTGTTAAACAGTATCACATATAAGATCTGCAAAGGAGAGACTATCCAGGGTGGCCATGTATGGTTGTGCAGGCTGCTCACTGAACAAAGGTACCCAGCTGAGGGGCTGAGAGGGTCCTGAAGTCCAGTCCTTCTGCACTCATCCAGCTGGTGCCTTGGCTTAGGGCTGTACTGGAAGAAAAGTGCCTTTCTCTGATTTGCACAAAGCTGGAGTATGACCTAACCCTTATGTTAGTGATGGGGAAACTGAGTCTTAGAGATCTTGGCAAAGTCCAGACTGGACCCGAATCTGATATTCTTGACTATGATCCCTCTGGGAGGAAGATCAGGATCTTTTGGGGACTTGGAGAGGTGGTGCTGGGAGTTTGGAAGGGAGATATTCAAAGAGTAGTCCCTGGACTGAAGGAAGGAAAAGGGCAGCCAGGCTGCTGGGGGCTTTCCCTTCACCTTAATCCTTATACTTCATGCAAATATTTGGAAGGGACCTGGGTCAAGGATGCATTATCTCTGCTTGGGAAAGGGGAGAAGGTGTTCTGGTTTGCTTTGGTATTTGAACCTGTCCCTTGCCTCTTTGGTCAAGTCTTACCTGTATGAGTCTATAGACCAGAGTTCCATTTTGCTCCCGTCCACACTGTTTGTAAATTTTGGACTCCTAAAGACACACTGAGGGCCTGCATTCCCCAGAAGCTGGGAATCAAGGTATAGGCATTCTTTTATGGGGAGGAGAGGGAGTGGTGAGGTTGGCCTCCGTTGAGTTTTTCAAAACTTGAATTGCTTGCCAACACTTGCTAATTAGGTAATTTTATTAAAAACATCTAGATCTCAGGTTGTTTGAAAAACTGGAGGGCTAAGAAACACAAGTTTGTGCACACAATCACCTAGAGTTCATGGCTGCTGCCCATTTACCTGGACACGCTCCAGTATGCTCCCACCCCCATCTAGCCCACTTCTGTCAATGACCTGTAGGCTGCGGGGTGTGGGCCCTGCTCAGCATTCTCAGTTGTGAGAACCCAACACCCTTTTGCAGGCAGACACTGCTCCTCCAAAGAGAAGAAAGTGGCATGAGGTGTGACCTGGGCAGGAGTTGCGAGTGTCCCTTTTTTCCTTTTCTATCTGCCACTCTCCTGGTTAGCGGGGCAGCTGATTTTCCACGGTGGGGGGGGGGGGCAGGGAAGGTTGAGGGCACATTCCTAGGAGACATGGGAATGAATAGGTCTGAGAGGTGGAGCTGGGTTTATTCTAAATCTCTGGGAAGAGAATAGAAAGGCTTGTCTCCAAATAACCATTTATAGGAAACCCCCTTAGCATCAGCCCTTTCTTGATCCCCATGCACCATCTTAAACATATCAAATCAGGGGTGCCTGGGTGGCTCAGTCTGTTAAGCGTCTGGTTCTTGATTTCGGCTGAGGTCATGATCTCAGGGTCGTGAGATAGAGCCCTGCATCGGGCTCCATGCTGGGCGCTGTGTCTCCTTTAAGAGTCTCTCCCTCTTCCTCTGCCCCTCCCCCTCTTAAAAAAAATCAAACCAGAAAGTCTGTTTCTTCTCTCCTTTTATCCCTCTCTCCATTTCTCTTTGCAGCAAATATTTATTGAGTGCCTTCTGTGGGCTAGAAATGGAGCCCACAGCGGATACCCAGGGGATAGAATGATGAGCTAGCTGTTCGCATGGAGCTTACATTTTAGTGGGGCAAGGACATACGAAACAGGAAAACAAGCAGGAAAAATCAAGTACTATAAAGCAACACAATAATACCAGCTGTACCCGGTTGGATAATGTCCTCCCCAAATTCATGTCTTTCCCACAACCTCAGAATGTGACCTTATTTGGAAGTAAGACCATTGCAAATATAATTTGTTAAAATGAAACGTATGCTGGAGTTTTATCTCCTACAGGAG